AAGACGATTCGTTGTTCCGTTCTTGGTTCTTAATCATTGTCTTAAATCAGTTTCCCCCCTCCGCGCAAAGCGCGGAAGCTTTGACGTTTCATTGAATTATTAGAGAAAGAAGATGATTTGTTGTACCATTCTCGACTCTTATTCCTTGTCTGAATTCAGTTTTCCCCCTCCCGCGCGAAGCGCGGGAGCTTTGACCTTTCATACTGTAATGAAATTATTAGAGAAAGAAGATAATTCGTTGTTCCATTCTCGACCCTCAATCCTTCTCTGAATTCAGATTACCCCCTCCAGCGCAAAGCGCAGAAGCTTAACGTTTCATTAAATTATTAGAGAAAGAAGACGATTCGTTGTACCGTTCTCGATTCTTAATCATTGTCTGAATTCAGTTTCCATACCCCTCCCGCGCGAAGCGCGGAAGCTTTGACGTTTCATTAAATCATTAGAGAAAGAGTACCGTTCTCGACTCTTAATCCTTGTCTGAATTGAGTTTCCCCCCCCCCTCTCTCGCGCCAAGCGCGGAAGCTTTGACGTTTCATTGAATTATAAGAGAAAGAAGATGATTCGTTTTCTCATTCTCGATTCTTGATCCTTGTTTGAATTCATTTTCCACCTTCCGCGCGAGGTGCGGAAGCTCTGACCTTTCATAGTTTAATGAAATTATTAGAGAAAGAAGATAATTCGTTGTTCTATTCCCGACTCTTAATCCTTCTCTGAATTTAGTTTTCCCCTCCAGCGCAAAGCGCAGAAGCTTAACGTTTCATTAAATTATTCATTAAATTCGAAGATGATTTGTTGTATCATTCTCGACTCTTATTCCTTTTCTGAATTCAGTTTTCCCCTCCCGCGCGAAGCGCGGAAGCTTTGACCTTTCATAGTGTAATGAAATTATTAGAGAAAGAAGATTATTCGTTGTTCCATTCTCGACCCTCAATCCTTCTCTGAATTCAGATTACCCCCTCCAGCGCAAAGCGCAGAAGCTTAACGTTTCATTAAATTATTAGAGAAAGAAGACGATTCGTTGTACCGTTCTCGATTCTTAATCATTGTCTGAATTCAGTTTCCATACCCCCTCCCGCGCGAAGCGTGGAAGCTTTGACGTTTCATTAAATCAGTAGAGAAAGAGTACCGTTCTCGACTCTTAATCCTTGTCTGAATTGAGTTCCCCCCCTCCCTCTCTCGCGCGAAGCGCGGAAGCTTTGACGTTTCATTGAATTATAAGAGAAAGAAGATGATTCGTTGTTTCATTCTCGACTCTAAATCCTTGTCTGAATTCAGTTTTCCTCCTCCCGCGCGTAGCGCGTAAGCTTCTGACGCTTCATTAAATTATGAGAGAAAGATCTGATTCGTTTTCTCATTCTCGATTCTTGATCCTTGTTTGAATTCATTTTCCACCTTCCGCGCGAGGTGCGGAAGCTCTGACCTTTCATAGTTTAATGAAATTATTAGAGAAAGAAGATAATTCGTTGTTCCATTCCCGACTCTTAATCCTTCTCTGAATTCAGTTTTCTCCTCCAGCGCAAAGCGCAGAAGCTTAACGTTTCATTAAATTATTCATTAAATTTATTCATTAATAGAAGATGATTTGTTGTCCCGTTTTAGACTTGTCAAAAATGTTTCTTTGTCTGCTCCTTTTTTCGTCCTATGTCCTCTTACTGCCCCTACCGCCCCTAGCTACGCATGCTTTAAAGGGGAAATGAAACAATCATGATTGTGAAAGCATACAATTAGGTCAGTAGAAATGAAAGGGGAAAAAAGATCTATGTATACACCAACCATGAAATAATCGCGACCGGGAGCGTCATATATCTTAGTTTTGTGTTATCGGGCGAGGGCCGGAGCGGAGCGACCAAGCGAGATTTTGCAATGTAGAATGCTGAAATTATGCATTCTAGAAAATCCTTTAGTCCAATATGTACGTTCTTTCCGTTACATGTATATTTCTTTCTAGCTATATATCTAAATTTCCGGGGGGACGTGTCTCTCTATCGGGCCCAAGATCGCCGCCGCTGTCCATTATCACTACCTACATGAGTTCAAATATAAGCACAAGCGAGTTGGTATGAGCTGAATCCAAATGAAGGGCAAAATAAGAATTGTGAAGCGGCCCTACCGTTAATTTAAAATTTGACTGTGAAGTATATAGCTTCTATTTGAAAGACATCCAAAACATTGTGCCCTTTTCAATTTTTCCAAAAAGCAGGGGCTGTTTGTAACGTTTAACTTTGAATCTGTGGCTCGAGATTGTATGCGGCCGGCCCGGCCCCCTCTATTCAATAACGTTTCCCAAGCCTTCTGGAATGACCCCAAATCTCCCGATTACAGTTTTTCCCTTATTCGTCGTTACTGTCACTTAGCGCCATTTCCTTGTCTTTCCCCCTTTCTCACCCGACTTTTCTCTTCCCCTTCCCACCCCCCCCCCCCCCCCACCCACTCAGTGTTATCTAGGGTATGCGCATGCATGTATGTTCCCTCTCTTAGTTTGAAAGCACCCCTTTATCTTCGGTGTGTAGAGTCAGTACGGGCCGGATTTGTGTGTATTACGGGCCGGACTTTGTTGCGTGAAAAGTAACCCTTCATCGGAAATTTTGGGAATACAAAATCGGTCCCTCCGACCCCGGAGTGGGAGTGAGGTGGGGGGGGGGGGGGAATCTTCTTCTTTTTTTTCTTTCTCTCTCTCTCTCTTCTTTCTTTTCTCTTCTCTTTTCTTTTCTCTTCTCTTTTCTTTTCTCTTCTCCTTTCTTTTCTCTTCTCCTTTTTTTCTTCTCTTCTCCTTTCTTTTTTTTTTTTCTCTTTTTTTTTTGCGCCGCCAATAGGGGGGGGGGGGGGCCGCGGCCGTTTCGGCCCCCCTCCCTGGATCCGCCACTGCAGCCAGTATACATTTTCTTCCAAAATTGTTCGGCACATGACATTTATTTGTAATCTTGAACATTCAGTGTAAGTTTCGTTAGATTCTGTGAGAATTAATTTTCTTTTTTTTACCAGAACTCAAGTTTATCCTTATAAACTAATCTACACAATTCTGAATCGCACATATAACACTTTTTAACTTGGGAACACTTTAATTTAAGACCATTAATGAGAAGAATTTCATAGACATATTTTTAACTTCCCCATAACTCATTCTTCTCTTTAAATTCTATATAAAAGAAAGAGAGAGGGAGGAAGTAATTTATTACGATAACAAACCAATCAAACGTTAGAGTTAGGAAATCCCACTAAACATGATCATTATGATAACATGAGCAATTGTAATAGTACATAATAATTCAAACATATAAAGACCGCTAAAATGATTTATATATATTAAAGTAAGATTCAATACGTAAAAGGCACAACAGTTAACTACGAAGATAAAGACTTAATTACGAAAATACGAAGACGGTAGATTTTAAGGAAGCTCTTAACGTGTTGGAGCCTGGCGGATTAGCAGTGGAAGATAGTTCAAGAGGGTAGGAACGACTTCCATTGCTTTTTCGCCTTGAAAAAAAGAAAAAGAAAAAGACAAATATAAACAGACTACAGTTTCCTAGAAATCAAATTCACCTTAAAGCACACCTCGTAATTACACACACGAGCCAATGTTCAATGCAAGGGAGTCAGATAGACCAGAACTTACTCGATTTTCATCAATATTATCAATATCGATAGACCTACTATGCTAATGCCTCACTTCAAAAACCTGAAGACTGCCTTAGATAGAAGATGAAATCTGATTGAGAGAAAATTGTGTTCCTTTTAAACGATACCCATAAGCAGCGCGGCGTTTTCCCACCTTTTGTTTAGTCACGGCAACCTTTTAAGTTTTTTTTTTTATTTTTTCGGGTCACCCTCAATCCCCAAATTTGTTCAAAATGAACCATTTTGCATTACCCTGACACTCGTGAAGTGCTATGTACACATGTTGCATGGTCGTTTCTAAATCTTGCGAGCGAGCGAGAAAAAAGACAACGACACTTTTAATATGGTAACATTGTTTACATGCGCATAGTTGTTTCTAAAAACATAATGACACTTTTAATATGGTTACATTTTTTACTTATATTCTACAAACTAGATAACATATAATCAAGAGTGCGGACACCTCACTGCCAAATACATAAATACACAAATCATTATGTGTGGCCACCTCGATGCAAAAATATGAGGTTTTCCTGTAATTCTGTTTCTTAATGTTCCGAGCGAAAGGAGCGGATCAACAAGGTAAACATGTAATTTCGATAGAAAATATATAATATATGTTTAGGCACCTCGTTGCTCAAATATGGCGGTATTTAGACACTTTGCTGCCTAAAATCGTTATGTTTCTAAAGGTAATTGCGAGCGAGCGAGGGATAAAGTTACTTAATTATCCTTAAAACGCTATTTGCTCATGAAAAATACCTACTCTAGCGGTATATAATATCGACGTTCTTCAAAATAATAATATTATTTTTGTTATAATACTAAAATTATCACGTGGCACCCCTAAAAATGTCTTGCGGCACCCCGGTTGAAAAACGATGCCCAAGAGAATAAGACATGTTATATGATGGATACATTGTTATTGGACTGATCACGTTCACGAGATAATCTTATCTTCAATTAGATAGTAATACAAGGGGAGATTCACTCCGATATTTCGCTAGTTATAATAAAAACAGAAAATCATAGAAACAGAACAGTGAAACATTGAGCAAAATCTTATTAAAAAACTTGGAAAGTTTCAAATTTTCGAGGTAGAAATCGAAATCCTATGGCCAGTAACACGACATTATATGACAAGTGTGCGACGAAACTTGCAAGGACCGCTCAAAAAATGCATTAATTGTTATTATATCTATATAGAAAATTGACATGCATCCTTTTTTGTTTTGTTTTTTGTTTGTTGTTGTTTGAACACAAGCCTCGGATTGAACCAAATGTATTCTTTCATTAACAACAAGGTAAATGAAAATCCATGCAGTTTTTTGTACAGAGCAAATGGGAGAGGACCTCCAAGAAGAAGTCAGGGCAGAGAGTGTCTACACCGCATGATCAAACATGAAGTTAAGGGTATCTACTGTGCGGAGCCTCTGAGGTACTTTATACTGGTTTGCCGTAGTGTTGGTCGTATTCACCACATGCTGTTTCAAATCTTCAAACGTGCCGGGTTTCAGGATGTGAACACGAGGTTGTGAAATGGCGCCCTCTCTCCGTAGTCTCTCGTAGTCGCTGTTACGACCACGAAGCTCTGCGTCGATCTACCCATTGTAATAGAAAGAAAATGACAAAAGAAAACAATCCTAAATATCCTGAATCAATATCATCTCAGTTTTAGGACTGTCGGCTTTAGGGAACATTTTATTCTCTCTTTTTGAAATTAAACAGCCTTTGAAATAGATCAAAATCCAAAGCGGGCGTTAAACAAGACTGTCACTGTGAATGGGTTCGTAACAAACTCATGGTATACTACTGACATTACTTCAGATCAGAGCAATCTATACACAGAGTTTGGCCAACCCGGTTCGAGCTGAACACAATATGGCGACTACTGCTTTGTTGGGCAAGCGCAAAACCAGAATATACGCCATATGTTGAGACCATACAGCAGGGGCGTAAATCCCGGGGGGGGGGATGGGGGGGCTGCATCCCCCCTGGCTTGAAGTAGGGGGATGGCCTGTACAATCATCCCCCTGATATTGCAAAAACAAAGAGAGAAAAAAAAGGAAGAAGAAGAAGAAGAAGAAGAAGAAGAAGAAGAAGAAGAAGAAGAAGGAAAAAATGTGGTTGTTTCAATTTTAGCATAATACATGAGAAATGAGTTATTTTTTAAATTTAAGTATAACTGTATAGCCTACACGGATATAGTATGTCACGATCATTAAGAGTTGTTGCGCGACGTGCGCGAACAAGCACTTCATGAACTTTAGAATAATTTTTCGTTATTTTGCAAGGTATTATTATAGCCCAGACGTAAAGTGCGCCAGCGCGCGAGCGCTTAAAAAGTGCAATCATGTACAGTAGATGCCCGGCTCCCCCACTTAGTATTATTTAGGGTACGCGTACGCTCGTTCCCGCCCTTTAACCCCCCCCCCCCACCCTATCTCAGGACTGCCAACATTTCTGAATCCCCCTTTCGCCGGCTTTTCGCTGGCTTTTCCTACCTTGGAGACCCCCCCCCCCCCCCCATTTCAGGTGAGCTCTAGTCGATCGTGGGGGACTGGGGGCCAATGCTTTTACTTTTCAAAATGAAATAATCCTGAATGAGCTTTCAGAGCTAGCAGGAATTTTAGGAATTTGATCCCGGGATTTGATCAATTTTTCTATGATATTCAAGATATTTTATAACCTCCTTTTTACATTTCTCAGGAGTCCAAAGAGAGAGAGAAAAAAAAAACACCCCCTTTTTAAAGAAATTAAGAGTCAAGAATGGTACAACGAATCGTCTTCTTTCTCTAACGATTTAATGAAACGTATAAGCTACCGCGCTTCGCGCGGAAGGGGGGGGGGGAGGGAAAAACTGAATTCAGATGAGTATCAAAAGTCGAGAACGGTACAACGAATCGTCTTCTTTCTCTAATTATTTAATGAAACGTGTAAGCTTCCGCGCTTCGCGCGGGAGGAGGGGGGGAAGTGAAAAACTGAATTCAGATGAGTATTGAAAGTAGAGAACGGTACAACGAATCATCTTCTTTCTCTAATGATTTAATGAAACGTAAAAGCTTCCGCGCTTCACGCGGGAGGGGGGAGGGAAAAACTGAATTCAGATGAGGATTAAAAGTCGAGAACGGTACAACGAATCGTCTTCTTTCCCTAATGATTTAATGAAACGTAAAAGCTACCGCGCTTCGCGCGGATGGGAAGGGGGGGAACTGAATTCAGATGAGGATTAAAAGTCGAGAACGGTACAACGAATCGTCTTCTTTCCCTAATGATTTAATGAAACGTAAAAGCTACCGCGCTTCGCGCGGATGGGAAGGGGGGAACTGAATTCAGACGAGGATTAAGAGTCGAGAACGGTAGAACGAATCGTCTTCTTTCTCTAATGATTTCATGAAACGTAAAAGCTTAGGCGCTTCGCGCGGGAGGGGAGGCGGGAACTGAATACAGACGAGGATTAAGAGTCGAGAACGGAACAACGAATCGTCTTCTTTCTCTAATGATTTAATGAAACGTAAAAGCTTCCGTGCTTCGCGCGGGAAGGGAAAAACTGAATTCAGATGAGGATTAAAAGTCGAGAACGGTACCACGAATCGTCTTCTTTCTCCAATGATTTTATGAAACGTAAAAGCTTCCGCGCTTCGCGCAGGAGGGGGGAAGGGAAAAACTGAATTTAGATGAGGATTAAAAGTCGAGAACGGTACAACGAATCGTCTTCTTTCCCTAATGATTTAATGAAACGTAAAAGCTTCCGCGCTTCGCGCGGGAGGGAAGGGGGGGAACTGAATTCAGACGAGGATTATTTTCGAGAACGGTACAACGAATCGTCTTCTTTCTCTAATATTGTTTGTTGTTTGTTCGTTTGTGTGTGTGTGTGTGTGTGTGTGTGAGTTTGTGTGGTGGTGGTGTGCGTGTGTGTGTGTGTGTGTTGTGTGTTTGTGCGTGCGCGATCGCGCGCGCTTGCGTAAATTAGTGTGGGCGTGTGCTCGTGCTAGTATGTGATGGCTATCGCCGATCATCCCCCCCCCCCCCACTCCTCGGTACGGATTTACGCCCCTGCCGTACAGTGAAACCAAGTTGGCCACACTCTGTGTTTAGAAGGCTCTTCTTCAGATTTACGTATACTGCCATCTGCTGCTCACTATGTTTCAATGACGCGCGGAAACCGGAAATCGCTCTTAAATTAAAAATAAATATAGATGGCGCAATTGAAAATATTTTACAACAGTGGAAGAAAATGATGTCGTTAAAAAAACACGTCCTTCAACAAGTTCCAAATGTACAGAACACGACTTATGCCTATGTCACATATACACCGGGCCCCGTACGATTTTCCCTACCTGGCAGCTTGCCGTGGATTTTAGAGACCGTAAGGGACCCTTCCGATTTTCATTTCTACGGCATGTGTGGTCACATATTCTGCGGCGCCCAGTGACAATTTGGTCGAGTGAAAATGCAAGGCGCCCGTAAGGGTGCCGGTCGGGTGTCGGCCGGTAAGCGTACGGGCTCCGTCCGATGAACATGTGCATCCCATGGCTCCCGGGGCTCGGCCGGGATCGCCAAGGTGCGCATACGGTGCACCACGGTCTGCCGTGCGGCGCACTGAACTCTGTGTCCTCTGACATCCGCGCCTCTGTATTCAAAGCTACGGTGTATATTGAGAATTAACAGTAATACTGGTCACCGTCTTGAGCCTCACTACCGGTTCCCCCCCCCCCCCCCCACTCAGTGCTATTTAGGGTACGCGTATGCTTGTTCTCTCTTTTTGAAAGCACCTCCTATCTGAGGACTGCCAACATTTCTGAACTCCCCTTTCGCGGGCTTTTCCTGCCTTGGAGACCCCCCTAAATACGGAAAGATGGTCAATGTACCCCCCCCCCCTAAATTCGGAATAATTTCTCAGGAGTCCAAGGAGATGAGAGAAAAGGGAAAAACACCCCCTTTTAAAAGCAATCTCCGGGTAAAAAGTCAAATACATCCCTTTTTTAAACATTTCTCGGGCCGGACTTTGTTGCACGAAAAGTACCCCTTTACCGGACATTTTGGTAACACGCATGCGGTCATTCCGTTCTCTGAGTGGGGGGGGGGGGGGGCTGGGCCTCACGGGCCCTTTACGGGCTCTCTACGGCCTAACGGTCAGATAAAAACTCCGGGAGAATTGGGAGCAGCCAACTCAGCACCGAGACATGGTACAATACATGTAATCACAAAAACTAACAATGCATGATTATTAACAATTTTTCAGATATACCATGTAAACGCTGAATGCAAATGTGTATTTACATGCAAATAATAATGATTTTATCGAACTTAGGTATGGCCGATATAAAATAATGAAAGATTCACGGAAAAAGATCTCTCTGCCGCCCCATCCCTCCCCCATTTGACCAACTCTATAGACTCCTACCGATTACTAAGTACTAGATGATGTCTTTAAGCCACTTTGGAGATTGAATTATTAGGCACTTAATACGAGAGGTCCCGGGTTCACTTATCATTGGACAAGGTACTTTCGCCCACTGCATCCAGCTACCTGGCAACGAGGCCTAACAAAACAAAAGATGTTGTATTGCCCTTTGCGACTGACCCAAAAATCTTGAAATCTACGGTCGGCTTTTTAAAATATTTTTTTTTATGTTACCGTTTTTTAGGAAAAAAAATGTATTAAAGTATTTCGACCGACCGACCCATGTTTTGGCACCTAAAGGGCAATACAACATCTTTTTTGTTATAGCCTGATGGGCATTATGGTAGTTGCAGTGCAAGCAGGAATAGTAGTACTATTTTTATATGGCTACACTGGGTAAAGCTAACTAACAGGTATGCTAAGTAAGACCGACTCATTGGTACGACTTACCGAACTCATGATCTCATTGGATGCAAGCTCTACCGGCTCCTTCGTCTCTTTATTTTCGCCCGTGTTTCCTGCCTGGTGCAGCTCCAAGAAGATCACGTAATACGGCATGTCTTCAGTCTCTTCGAATGCTAAACAAAGATAGATTTAATATCGAAGTCGAATGAGATTTAAAAGGAACGTACCATCGAAAGGATAATAATAAATGTATAAAAAACGGTAAAATCTGGAGAATTCGCTGACCATACGTATATACGCGGAGATACGTAGGAAATTTGATAGACCCGGTAGGAAGCAGAGTGTCCGATAGGATTTTAAAATAAACATCATTCTGTCATATGTTCCAAATCAGGGTTTATTTCTTTAATTTTTTCCTTTGGGGCCCCAAAAAAAAGTCTAAGAAGACGCAATCCTCAAATAGAGTGTAAAATACCATGCCAGATATAGGGGTCTAAAAATAGGAGATGGTAGATGGGTTTCGTTGTATAATTCCCAGCGCACACTATATGATCGTCCTACTATCCAACTAGTTGATTAGCATAGTAGCATACCAATGCTTTAGCAGTCACGCAAAACAAACACTGGCAAATTAATATTCAATACAATCTGAGGACGTATACTATTATTTAGATCCATTAGGAATAAATCATTGTCAAAATTATTCCATAACTTGGGGTAAAAATAATTATTCCACCATTATGACCAACAGACTTCGATTCTGGTCCAGGGGGCCTTTCAGAAGTGATTTACGCGGATAATGTACAGTGCCCAATCTGACCAGGGTCTCACCTCCATGATGTGACATTACACCCCCAACCCGGCTTTAAACGTACCCTTTGATACTTATAAAGTATGAGTATCTCGTTTTATGACATTAGGGACGATGAAACAATTTGATGGCTTTGTTTAGCCATATTAAACAAGATTAGAGATTAGGAAAAAGACAAACACTATTTTCTGACAAACAATACATGTATACGTGCACCATGGATAAGAGACGAATAAATATAATTTTGATAGGAAAGGTATGTAGTGCATAAACAGATGAAGTTCAAAGAATTTGTAAAAGCTAGGTTAAGACCTGGGGACGACTTCGGAATAAGTGTGCTCTCAGCCACTGCATACTCGACTAGCCCAACATCATTCCACTGCCCCACGGCCGACTGTAGTCCCGCTTTGAGAACGACCTGGTTCATCTTCTCATACCGCAAGTTCAAAATCAAGCCCATCCTGTGATAAAATGTTCATAAATTACAGGCAATTAGTTGTTGGTAGATTTTTCCCAGTATTCTAATTTTTTTCATATTGAATTAGAATGGATGCATTAGGGACGGTCTATGACACTTACCCCCTGGACATCAACCCCCCCCCCGGATAACCACTACCCCATAGGACAACTACCCTCTATAGGGCAACAACCCTCTAGGACGATTATCCCCCCCCCCCCGGGACAACTACCTCCCGGAAAATTACCCCAAGACAACTACCCCCTAGGATAACTACCCCCTAGACAACTACCCCCGGACAACTATCCTAAGACGAATACCCCCGGACAATTACCCCCGGAAAAGTACCCCAGACAACTACCCCCTACGACAACTTCCCCAGACAACTACCCCTACGACAACTTCCCCCAGACAACTACCCCCTACGATAACCATCCTCTAGGACAACTACTCCCCCCGGACAACTATCCTAGGAGGTAGTTGGCCGGTGGGTAGTTGTCCTTGGGTAGTTGTCCGGGGTAGTTGCCCTAGCGGAAGGTTGTCCAAGGGGTAGTTGTCTAGGGGCTAGTAGTCCGAGGATAGTTGTCCCGGGGGTAGTCGTCCTAGAGGATGGTTGCCCTAGGGGATAATTGTCCTAGGGGGTAGTTGACGGGGGCGGTTATCCGGGGATTGGATGTCCAGGGGGTAGGTGTCCGGATACGACAAGGGACATCCCAGGGAAAGCAAACAGTTCTTGAGACGTTAATGAAAGTTCCATAAACGTTTCAACGTCTACAGGACGTTTTTCAAAAATCACAATAATAATTTCATCTTATTTAATCAAGCGAGCCACATCAGTATCAAAACTGCTTTTCATGCGGGCCCTGCAATTATTATTCCTTTAGCAATTGCCACGTACCTATTTGAACCTAGGTGGAAAGTGCCAACAAACTGGGGGGGGGGGGGGGGGAAATCTAGTTTTTACGATTTAATAACTTCTTAATGAAATGATCAAAAATGCGCCTCATGAAAATGTTACTACTAAAATTGATGTATGTAAATTTGAATTGAAATGAATTAACTACCTTTGAGTAATCAAGGCCGGAATTTTAAGAAAGCGGGTTTGTTTCTTCTTCTCATTCTAAACGTTTTAGGGGCAGTATCACTTTGTTTAAAGCGCAGTTTGGTGGGTTCTTTTCAAGTTTGTGTTACATCCGTTTTTCGACAGAACATTTTGTGTGCTTTTATAATTCTGTAATTTAAAGCCATAGCTCTTCCTTCTGACAAAATTCGGTCAATTGGGCTAACCATTGTTTAGAGACCATCTAACACCCCATCCCGACTTTTTTTTTTTTTCGGGAGGGGGGGGGTGTCATTTGTTTGTGCTTTGTAATTTCCAGTCATATTACTTCCTACTGACAAAGGATGATTCGTGGGCTAGACGGGATAAAATCTATCCAAATTTGGGTGTGTATTTTTTTTTTTTTTGGGGGGGGGGCTCTTGGGGCTTAATTCGACAGGTACGTTTCTCGAATTTGCACAGGAAATAAACGTTTGCATATCACTGCTTCTCTGATTTACGTGCTTTATTCAATGAAACTGTAAAATAACTTACAAGACCTAACAAATCGGAATCTGTGGGATAGTGACACTCACCGATACATGAATTCGAATGTAGGACAATTGTAGTGATAGCCAGTTATCCGAATGACATCTCCTACTCTGTATCGATAGAGTCCACTGTCCTGGGTAAAGACGATCTCGTACTCCTGCCCGATCTCGAGTTCGTCAATCAAGAGCGTTTTCGGCTGACTCTCTTTCCTGTGAAAAAGATGAGATAAAAAACAACTTCAATTGCATAATCAAGTATACGTGCAAATTTAATGACGTTTTTTCAATATGTAGTTCAGTGCGTGCATGAAACACCCATCCGAATCCCCAAATGTTTACGATATTCTCTCTCTCTCTCTCTCTCTCTCTCTGTCTCTCACTCTACCATATTACCAATATCGTAACCATTTTTGTCCATGGGGTAATAACAGCCTACAGTGTTTGAATGTTTGGTGTACCACCCCGAAAAATGGAAATAACCATCGGGACTGGGCAAATCAATATCGCACACCCTCTCTCTCTCTCTCTCTCTCTTTCTCCCTTTCTCTCTTTCTCATTCTACCCCATTACCAACATCGTTACCATTTTTTTCCGTGTGATAACAGTCTAAATGTTTGATGTGCCAGCGTAACAACATGGAAAAGATCCATAAGGTGGGGGGATGGGTGCGTGGCAGTCGGTAATTAATTGGGAAATCTGGGAATCGATGTTTAAAAAATGGCGTTAATATGTCGGAAGAACTTGCCTAGTTGGGGTGCATACACCGTGTTTATTCCATTGGACTGATGTTCGTATAGCCACTATCTAACAGTGGAAAATCTAAAATTGAAATATACTCACGAGTCTTCAAGTCTGATGAACTCAAAGAAGGCCATGTTGGTGCAAAACACCATGCTATGATTATCTTCATGGAACCATGGAGAAATAGCGAGAATCATCCCCTCTGAATTCCCGTATCCAATGCTCACGAAAGGTATACCTGTACCGAAGCATCGAATAGCGTAAATTTGCAGTCAAAGGGAAAGATGAAAATCGATGAAAGAATAGAATATAAGCGCAGAATTGTCTCCGAAAAGGATTCCTTTTCGAATGCCCTCGTTTCGGGATTTTCTGAAAGACTGAGTATATATTTTTTCATTGTGATTATTAAAAAACCTAAAAACGTACATTAAGTCTTATGTTCTACGTAGTTAACCTTTCAAAAATACTTTTGGTTACTTTCAGAATTTAACCAATGAGTCAGTCATGACTACGTCTCAACATAATCTTAAATCATGTTATAATGATCACGAACCATATTTGGGCATGGAAAAAATGTTGGCAAGGGAATTCGTATTGAACGATTACCAAAGACCTACACTTCCCGACAGGCACACCAACGACAAGTTGTCCAGTCTAGGTTGCAGCCAAAAACCCTTTGAGAAAGCTTCCAAATATCCCTAGAACCATATGCTCCCGGCCATCAAGGTTAACAGTGGCCATGATAGTGAAGTCGAGAATACATAACCACACAAGAGCAAGCAAATGTTTTCTTAAAAAAAAAAAAAAAAAAAAAATTATTTGCCTAATGCCATGCATATCTATATTTCAGACAAAAACTATTCATTTTCGATTAAACCAAAGAAGGGTGCAGTGACTCGACATTTGCCCCTGCCCCGGGCTCTATTTCGTCAAAGGTATAGGGGTTAAGGTCAGGGTTAAGGTTGCAATTGTGTTTTAGGTTGGGTTTATGATTAGGGTGAGGGATGGATACAGTATTGGTCCAGAGTTGATGTTAAGAATTGGTGGAGGAATCGGTTGGTGAAGGAAATTGACGCAGAGCTATTGTCGCATGAGCAAGACAAATGCCGGCACTACTTATTGTAGATCAAATATGGTGCCTTCAAGCTAACACATCAATAAAACTAAAGTTCATGAAATTAACCTTATTTGCCTACCTTCTGCATATTTTGCCTTGAGATCAGGCCAAATTCCAGTATTATCTACGGCGGCTAGCACCTCAAGGTTTGGCCACACCCTCTTCATGATACCGTTAAAACCTTTCTCGAACTGCCTTCTCAGCTCGCCCGCCCTCTCCGGGTGACCTCCGCCAAGAGCCTGTTCAAGTGATGATCTGATGTCAGCATCGTCGAACTTAACCTTCTCAGTGATTGTTCCATGCTCGATATCATCCACAATGTCCTCCCAACATTGCTCAAGTTTCTTCATCAAAGTATCAATGCCGCCTATAAACGTGCCACAGAATACACCAGTGTTTGGATCGAGGAGAGCAAAAAGAAGGTGGATGTAATTTGCTTCGTTGAAGGATTGAATGCGAAAACCCGAAGGTGGTGTGGTATAACAGGATGCCATGAAGCCATCTTCATATAAAGACATGGCAGACCTGATACTCCCTCCGTTCTTAGCTCTAGACATTACTGGCTGGACGTAGTGAAATAACTTTTTCTGAAGCATCCCCAGACGTGGACAGAGTTCGTGCAGATGGGTATAAAGAACATCCATAATGCTTGTTAAAAGATACCTGTGATCTCTATGCGGGAAATACTTTGAGGGACCTGTCGTACCTGAGGTCTGTACAAATGCATTCGGCATCACCTGGGTCATCACACCTTGCTCTCCAGCCATTACCCGTTCGACATAAGGTTTGTAATCTTCATAGGTCGTCAACGAATGACGTTTTCGGAACTCCTCTGCGCTTACGATGTTCTTGAGCTTGAACTTCCTTCCGTAGTCTGTATCCCCATTTTCCTTGAGAACTCTCATGAGAAACTGATCCTGAGCATATCGAGGGTTCTTCCAAGCTGTCTTTAGTTGACGAAGGTAATACTTTCCCCTTATGTAAGACGTGCCTGCGAAGTACAGATGATTCAGAACCGATATGACTCCCTGCTTAGGAGATGGGCGGAGGGTCAGAATCCACAAGAACAGGACAGAGATGCAGAACGCAACAACAGCAAGGAATCCTGAATAATTAACAAATCAACAAATCAACATAAAAAAATTAACAAATCAACATAAAAAATTAACAAATTAACAAAAAATGTCCAGCCAGCTTTCTTCGAGTTCATGTAAAAGTCAAAGTTTAAATGTAGTGTTTCCCTTTTGCAGCCAACATTAAATTCTGTAAAACTTTGCAGGAATTAAGAATATGCCACGTAATGTTCTATCTGTGTAATTTAAACGTTAGTAGTGTCCTAGTATTCAAATTATGCAAGGAATCCCTTTTATTTTCTAGACTTCACTGTCAGACACTATTGAGTGACCAACTGACTTCTTTTTTTCTTTGGTAATAACATACATGAAATTAGCTGTAAAGGATACATGACCATTTGTCCACATCAATAACTCACTTCTTGTAATGGCCAAAATTTAGCTGATTGAATCTTTGCGCGGCACAAAACGTACGACTATTCGGTACGAGGCTCTGAAAACGGATCTGCATGTAACGCTCCAAAATGTTGACGGCAAACTGTTATCGTCTTTACATCTTAAAAATTAATGCTTTAAAATGTTTTCGTATCCATTCTCGTTTGCTTTTCACTATTCATTCTGCTGGCAGTCATTTGGCACTTTTTCAAGGTTTAAACGTTGGATTACAATTATAGACCTACTGTTTATACGACCAGGGTCTTATTCGTTATAAGGAGTCTTCGTGAACTGCAGATAATTATATTTTGATATATTATCTTTGGCTCAGCACTATTGATCGAATGTCCACGAGACCCTTGTGAAATGAGCAAATTTGTTTTATAAACTGGCGGTCACGTACAGAAAGACATTCTTTTTCGGGGCTAATGAACTTTGTTTAAATTGTAACTCTCGAACCTCAAGGTGTCTAAAATAAATAAAAAAACAAGGAGGTTTCTATTGGCAAAATCTTTAAAAATCATTTAACTATCCTTAGTAAGACTTCGTAGGTAGCGATGTCATGGTATCTCCTAAAATTTGTGTGAACTTTAGGGGATTTAAGCAAATACTACAGAGTTACGTTTGTTTTAGAAGACCTTGTATTTTCAGACGTTATACAGACAGCGTTTTGCATAACATCCTTGCAAAATATAAGAGGAAAATACATGTTGCCTGACAATGTTGTGGTAATTCTTCAATTTAAATCCGATTCTCATCACAAAAGGATGTTTGATGAATATTGTGTACACTAAAAGGAGATTTAGTATCCAAGTTTTATCGAGGGCATGGTGATTATATCATATATAATTGAATACGTAGATTCTTAAAGGGTAGACCTTTTTTCATACATGTACAATGCTTGGTTGTTTCCTTCAGTATATTATTCACGTTAAGGTTGAAATATCAGTTGAAGAAGAAACTAAATCACCAGGGACATCAAACGTGAATTCATATCAATTCCGGTCCATACTCCATACCTATACAATTTCATTGAATTAGTTTAATACTGGTTAATAATAGAAATATTCTCTCTCTCTCTCTCTCTCTCTCTCTCTCACACACTCTTTCTTTCTTCCTTTTGATTTAAATTGTAGACACCCCTAAAATTTTTCATATTTCTTGTTAAGCAGTCTTTTAAAGTTTTGATTGAGACTGAAAGAAAACAAGATTTTGAAATGAAAGAAATGAAAGAAATGAAATTTCTTTCACTTACCAAACCATATCGATTTCCAACTTCCGAATGATGTGGATGTTGTTTGGTAAGCTGACCAGGCTGCCATCGCACCACAAATCACCGAAATCATAAGTAACTTTGAAGTAAGCATTGTAGACTATGCTGCCTTAACTCACTACCTTCTGAATCAATATATAATATATGTCTCTTTTTTCTAGACCGGCTGTTATTTCTTGGCTGTAATGCAGACAAATTTATCATAGATGAAGAAGAGAGAAGGTAGACGAGTTTTGCCTGTCAGTTCCTTTACATTGGAAGCTAACATTAACTCGGATGAAATCGCGACTGAAGAATAAATAGCGATAAAACTTTTATCTGTGCATCTAGCGATTAAATTATATCAAATATAGACATAACCCTAATAGTATCAGAGTAAAGTCAATAAATGTAAGTTTAGGAAAGCACGAGGATCGGGAGTGATGTATTTTGTGACATGGCACCGAATATCAAACGTGTGCAATGTTTGATATTATCATAAGTATAATTTAACTTGAATTATCAAGTGACAGGAAAGCTGGAACAATAGACCTATATAAGCCGATAAATCGATGGAGCATAATTTGTATTCAAAGATTCTGAAATGTTGTCGGTAAATTTGTTACTTTTTCAGAAATCATTGCAGTATTTTCCCACCGATAACTCTACTAACATTGAGTTCCAGCAAAAAGAAATATCGCCAAGATAGCCGGAACATTAATTTTTATTTCATTTTAAGCGTTGCTTTACTGTCGATTATCAACAAATTTCAAAATGGAAATATGTCGTAAAATTAGTCGTAAAATTAGTTGTAAAATTTCGTCCAACTTCTAAAAGTTCATCTACATCTACTTCGACGACACCCCCAATGAAATTGCAGATCAAGCATTTATATTTTCATTGAACAAGGTAATGAGATCAAAGTCCATGAAGTGATTTTGCTTAAGATATGAACTATATGTCTATATATAGTGTGGGTTGATAAGGAAAAAAAAGGGGGGGTGGTGTATTCACACCAAAATCTCAACTAGAATCGCTGAAATATACCATAATGTTATGAAAGTTGATAAAATCGTCTTTAATTGGATAGGCCATCAAAATGCAATCACAGATGACCGAGCACTCGCCATCTTCGTAAAGCATGCGAAATTTGCCTTTGCCCGAATTTTGGTTGATTCGTGTTCTGGCACCCGTTTTACAAAGCCTTTTTTCAATGATAAATGACTCAAATCAGTGACAAATCTGTAGCTAACCAATCAGAAGCAAGGATTTCAGTAGCTTATAACACAAGTTGTCATTTGTCACTGAAGACAAGTTTTGTGAAACGCCCCCCAGGGGTTGCTCTCATCATGTGCGAGTTCCATTTAGAAAGTCAAACCTTGCAAAGTTGCACTGACCACCAATATTTACTCATAAATAAATTAAGCAAATGCAAATTTTGACATTAATCAGTAAAAAAATTGCAACCGTTTAGCTCTCCAGGCCAGATTTTATTGATCAAGTTGACTAACTTAAAGGTAATACAAAGTTTTGGTATGGGGTCGTGAATTTGGTTCAAATGAACATATTGAAAGCATATGCGATCCTACAATATTCACTGATCGTTGTCGCGGTCGAAATCGACTCTAAAGTTATGAAATTATAAATAATAAACATTTTATGTTGTATAGCTCCCTCTCAAGGTCAAGATATTAATTAAGCTGTAAAACAATGTTTCTTGACTAAAATCGGCCGATTAGCTATTCCCGTTCGGAAATTATATATCACAACTACATATTCTGAGATTGTCATGGTCGCAGCTACCATTGTACGGCCGTAGAAGCTATTTTGAAATTTATCAAAATTTACCGGGAGCACCGGTAAATCTTTATATTCAATTTTTCTCGAAAGCAAAAGTGTTTTAGGGACTAAAATTTCTATTGCTTTTAATACATCCACAGAGACATCCAAATATATCAAAATTGTAAAGAATCACTATCCACCCATTTTTCAAAATTTCCCAAAACTTTGTAATACCTTTAAAGGGATCACCACAGGCTACAAGAGGGACTTTTAGATTTGCACGTCGACAGCTTTGACTGCAACGTGTGACGTCATTTAAAGGCACTGCGCATGCGTAACGTCGTCTCAGTCGGCGATCGAGAATGCGTCAACCTTGATTTTCCTAAATCTAGTACAGTACTAGTATATGCCGCGTGCGCATAAAATATACAGTTCCTCAGGTAGACAAAGGAACATATCCCTTCCCTGCTATTATGTGTAGAACTGTAGAACAGGTGTCACATGCATATTCACCTGTTCTACACATTTTTACATAATGGCAGTGAAGGGATGTTCTATACCACAGCAATAGGCCATTTTCGTAATGTAACCAAATTTAATGCATAAGTCTTTGTGAAGTGCCTCAATACAAATTATTTCATTCACCTGATAGTAGTAATAGTATTTCAATAGTCAGAATGCAACTGCATATATTAAGTGTTGCTAGGTAGGTCAAGCCATCATGTTGTCCAACCTTGCAACAATTAATGTATGCAGTTCGTTGTTGAGGGTAGAATGAGGAACTGTATATTTTGTCCTCTTTCGTTGTCCGTCATGTTCATAGTGTACTTACTGCATGCATGTACATCGCCGAGTGCAATCTAAAATATTTCAAATTGTAGTCAACATGGGCAGTTGAGTACGTTGACACGCATGATCAGTCGGCGTTCGTCGTGTTCTCGTCCACTCAATCTAAAAGTCCCTATTATGAGTATCTTTTACTTAATCTAGATAAACTAATGGAAACTATATTTAGGATTAACACTGTATACCGAACCGTTAAAATTATGACACATTACAGTCGAAGTGACCATAGAGGTACGGCTACGAGGGAACGGACTTCTTATGCTCGACCATCAACTTTCCAGTTACATTTTCCGAGAAGGTTCATAATTCCGAAATTAAATTAGGGATCGTAATTTGAAATTAGTTAGGGTTCATTATTCTTAGGTTCATATTTGCAACAATGCCTTCGAACCCTGTATCCCTTTTTTCCAGGAAAACGAACAATCGGAATACCGAAACAAGTATCGGGAATCATGAGCATTTTTTCTGAAGTATGATTAGATTTGCACGTCGACAGCTTTGACTGCAACGTATGACGTCATTTTAAGACACTGCGCATGCGTCACGTCGTCTCAGTCGGCGATCGAGAATGCGTCAACCTTGATTTTCCTAAATCTAGTACGGTAGGCCCTACTAGTATGCCGCGTGCGCATAAAATATACAGTTCCTCAGGTAGACAAAGGAACATCCCTGCTATTATGTAACAATGTGTAGAACAGGTGTCACATGCATATTCACCTGTTCTACACATTTTTACATAATAGCAGTGAAGGGATGTTCTTTTGTCTACCACAGCAATTTTTGAGGGTAGAATGAGGAACTGTATATTTTGTCCTCTTTCTTTGTCCGTCAAGTTCATAGTGTTACTTCCTGCATGCATGTATATCGTCGAGTGCAATCTAATAGGCCATTTTTGTAATTTAACCAAATTTAATGCATAAGTCTTTGTGAAGTGCCTCAATACAGATTATTTCATTCACCTGATAAGAATAATAGTATTTCAATAGGCAGAATCTGAACTGCATACATTAGTTGTTGCCGGGTTGGACAAACATTATGGCTTGACCTACCTAGCAACACTTAATATATGCAGTTGCATTCTGACTATTGAAATACTATTATTCTTATCAGGTGAATTAAATAATATGTATTAAGGCACTACACAAAGACTTATGCATTAAATTTGGTTACATTACGAAAATGGCCTATTGTAGTCAACATGGGCAGTTGAGTACGTTGACACGCATGATCATTCGGCGTTCGTCGTGTTCTCTCGTCCACTCAATCTAAAAGTCCCTATTTTGTGATTTTCACGTCCGTCGCCCTTTCGCGGGGTCTTTGCCGCTACTATACATTATATACTTGATAGATTGAACGATATGCGTATGCACATTATAAATGTTTATTAATTGAAACACTCACCGCCTAGAGAATACACAAAAATACAAACATACAATACTAGCTGTGTTTGTAAAATACACTGCCTTTAATTGATAATAATTGATACTGATTATAATTGATTGCCAGCTTTACATTAAATATGCAATAGGTATACTGAAATAGATAGTTATTACAAACACAATGAAATTTATAACTGGTACTCACAATTCCGTCTCCATCTTTAAATTGTTTATTGTCTTGTTATCATTATGAAAAAATATTCGAATTCCAACTTTCTACATCATTATCAATAATTCAATGGTCAATGACAAACGTGTACATGTATAACTTTAGTATCATAAGCAAGTGTATATTAAACAGCTTTTGCCGGTTTCTTACTTCTAAGAGCTAAGCAGCCCACAGCAAATACATAACACAATTCTACGCTTTTAATGCACTATTTATTGTAACTCTAAACAAAGAAGAAAACGAACAAGAACAAGAAGAAAAACAACAACAATATTAATACAAAACTATATTAATAATGATAATAATTACAATTTAAAAAAAAGATAGTAACAATTAAAAAATCAATGATAATAAGAATAATAATAATAAGAAGAATATCAACAGTAAAGATGAATTTGTGAAGCACATAATAAAGTGTAGAGTCTCTTTAAGTGAGTAAGAAAACAAACAGCCCACAGCAAATACATAACATAATTCTATGCTTTTAATTCACTAATTATTCTAAATCTACACACTTCTTAGGCACACCCAGTATATAACAGTTTTTAAATTGGGAACACTTTCATTTGAGACCATTTAAGAAGAATGCTCATAAGCATCTTTTTATCTCCTCACATTCTTCTCTTTATATTTCATATAGGGTCAATGTCGCTATTCATAAGGACCGCTATTCATAAGGTCCGCTATTCATAAGGTCCACTATTCATAAGGACCGCTATTCATAAGGTCCACTATTCATAAGGACCGCTATTCATAAGGTCCGCTTTTCATAATTGGAGAAAAGGGTCATTATTCATAAGGGTCATTATTCAGAAGGACCGCTATTCATAATCAAAGAAGAGGGTCGGTATTCATAATAGGAGAAGAGGGTCGCTATTCATAATACGACGCGAGGGTCGTTATTCATAAGGGTCCCTATTCATAATATTACAAAAGGGTCGCTAT